TCTCGTGTAAAAATATCAGATCGATTGCCAATGTAGTTTTTTTGAAAAATGATATTAAAAATTATGCTCTTATACACAGGCTCTTATGGGAGTTGGGGCAAAAACTTTAATCAAACGTGAATATTGCTCTTAAAAATGGTTAGGATCGGGAAAATAAAATTGTAATTGAAGAATTAAATATTACTAAACATTTTAAAACAATAAAAATATGCACTTACAATGTAATTATTGAGATAATGGAATGAATATATAACGTTTTGACAAATTTGAACAAACAATGAAAGGAAATATGGCAACACTGTACGCTGTATTTAACGCTTCGACTGACGCGCTATATTTGAATAGCTCGATTATAGACTATAAATTTGAAACAAAAATTGAAAGGATCTCTTTGCAAAACGAACAGTATAGATGTTCTGTCATAATCTTCAATTTGACAAGACGACGTCTCACTATAATACACTGAACTTCTTGATAGTTATCATATGGATTCTCGGTCTGCACATTTTACTTTTTTCTCATCAATCCACATTCTGTTTCATACGCATTTTATATTACTTTTCAGTCATTACTTTTTCTTTGTACCTTGGATGTTCATTCATGTTTACGGAATAAGCGCAAAGTTGACAGTAATGACAGTTAACCCAACTTTTACCACCATGCCATAACAATGTTGCCAGATTTCATCCATAATTTTACAAGCTCTTAATGAATAAATAGACACTTTTATTCAAATAAAAAGTTAATTGCCGTGCATTAAACACGAAAAATATATGCAAGCTAATATGTGTTGTATAAATTTCATTCGTACATATTATATTTAGTTCGCTCAAATTGGTTTATGTAAGGTTGGTACTACAACGAAACTACCGTGTATAAGCATAGGCTTCCCTCCCGCAACGCCTGCCCCGCAAGAGATGTATCGAACATCCTTAAACTCATCACAAGTTGCAATTTGATTTTAGACATTAAGGAATAGTGAGGTTCTAGGCTGGCTATGAATTTACAGTTGCCGGCTATGAGCAATTGACGTAGTATAGATTTTTCCTAGGTTTTTATCAAAACATTTTATTTATTGGAAATAGTTACTTTTCTTACTTTAAGGTTATGTAATTGTCAATATTGAGTTTTCAAAAAATATACCTTTTTAGTAGTTACGTCACATACGCCAAATAATAGGCAACCCCATAGTACACATTGTTACAAAAAATTTCTCAGTATTTTTACTACATCGATTTTCGATCTTATGTACTTTAGACATAATTGCAAAAAAAAATATCACGATATTCTGGCAGTATTAGAAATATTTAAGAAGTTTCAAACCGCAAGTGACAAATTAAAAGAATTATAGAATTCATACATTTAAATTTATAGAACAATATTGAATTTTATAGTAATTAATAAATTAAAATTGTATCAATGTTACTGAGCATGCATATTAAAGATAATTTCATGTAAGCGAACTAGCCTCGCAACAGGATATCATTCAAGAAAAGTTTGGTTATGGTTAAGAATACGTCTATAATAAACCACTTGAAGAAATAAACACTTGATAAACACACTGACACAGTACAGCACTAAGAAAAACAATAAAAATACTTAGTAGAACTAGAAAATGATTAAATTAATAAAAGATTAAATAAAAGAAGGGGCTATAACCCCGGTCTCAAGAGATTAGGGGACCTCGTCAAGATGAAAATGAGACCAAAAAGTGTTTAGGTTTTGAAATTTTATATCGTGAAGCCGCTGATTGTGTGACCTTTTCTTTTTTAGAATGAAAGTAAAAAGTGTTTAGGTTTTTTGAAATTTTATTTTGGCAGATTGTGTAACCCTTTTTTAGAATCAGACCAAAAAGTGAAAAACTGTAAGTTGTAAAATTTTGTAAAGACCTCTGTAGAGCTTGCAGCTCTGGCCCTCACCATAAGTTAATCCGGCCATGATTATTGGTAAACCATAAAATATGGTGGTAATAGTAAATATTAAAAATATCGTACCTTGTCAACTGTCGATAGTAATACATTTCTACATGCCAAGTCCCTGTGCAAAAATCGTCTATTTTCTAAATATGCCATACCATTCGCAACTTGTGTCGCATATTCACATAACATTGGCACAGGGGTGTGTTGGCACTGTTTTCTTAAAAAATCTAACAAAGATCCTAAAGGCGCTAGTTCTGTTACCATCATCATGGGTTGAGATAATACCACTCCATATAACCTTTAAATTAAAAATAATTTATAGACATTTTTTAATAAATAACATAAAAGAGATTAAGAAAGTTAATAGTAAATTTTTCATTTTTAGATAATTCTAATCTTCAGCTAAAACCAAAAATCGATTACAATTACATACAATAATTTGGATCTCTTTCTAGTTAAAAAAAATATAGATTTTTTTATTATGAAATTACTACATTTTTGTCACATACTTCTATCCTATACTGATCATTTTGCAATTGACTTGAAGCCGAAAAGTGGGGCGACGTACCAGCGTATTCATACGCATGCGTTTACTTTACGGGTTTTGATTGGTTGAAAGGAACCAAGAACGGTGAGCGCCGAGCGGTAAAAAAGCAAACCGAGCTAACCTAAAAAATATTCTCAATTTCTCATTTTGTTTTGTGTTGCGCTAGTGCTTTGGTGAAACTGTTATGGTATAGTGTATATTTTAATAAATAAATAAATAAATGTATCTTTTGAGTTTTATTTCATAATCTGTTTAAACCTGCACTAATTCTTCTATTAATTTGTCTTGTGTTGATATTTAGTAAAAATGTTTCAAAATTATACTCGATAAGAGCCTTCCTTAAGGGCCTTTAAATAGTGTTTTCCGCAAAGACAAATAATTTCAAACATTTAATAACTGAATAATCTAAAGTTATTAAAT